CACTTTCGTGCCGGTTTTGGTTGCCTATTTAGATAAAAGAGCAGAATAAATATTAGAATGTTGACAGTAAATTCAAGGGGAAGATGGCGAATTTATATTGACTGATGTTACAAGAATAATGAGTAGATGCGTGAGCGCCATCTACTCGTTCCGCTTGTCTCATTGGGTGCATGAGGCTAAATGGACCGTCAACCAACGCACCAGCGAACAACATACTCAACCTGAATTTAAAGTCCTAGCGTGACAGATCTCCAGAGGCTCTCACACGGGTGCTTCGTTCACGCCCCGGCGCGGGTCAAACTTCTGAGTCGAANGGGACCATTCAATTGAGCCCAAGGACGCCGAGAGGTGCGCTTGCCAGGTAGCGCAATTCGTCACAAGCGGTATCACGAAAAGACACTGTGCACTTGAAGTGTGCCACCAGCTCAAAGGAGTCGCCACATGCAACATTGAGTGTATAGCGTTTTTATGAATACGAGATGATTATTCGAGTACTACAATTGGTTGGAGAAGATTACAATCCTGCCATCGCACATGGAAACTATAGATTGTCGTAGTGATAAACTGTAGGGACACTGCATAGTCAGTATACAATCGTACCACAAGATACTGTGAATGGCTCGACGAGTCGACAGTTCGACTGTGGTTCGAATGGTGATTTCGGCTGTCGTTACCGTCTCCTTTTCCATTCCAGTAGTCACCTTGATGACTTAATTCTATTGATTTGTGAAAATGCCAACCACCACCATAGTGGGCATGGATTGTGCGACGATGTAGCTGGCCTCGACTGTGAGGGAGGTTTTCTACACGAAGATATCGCGCGAATTGCATGCGTAGGCCAATCCTATTGCTGAATCATGCTTCGAATTAGTTTATTTGCCCACATTCATGTCACCTGTTGGATTTTGATGTCAGGCTTCTGATTGATGTTCACCAGAAGGTGGGTACTAACATCCTTTCATAGCGATATTCGTAGGGGATGAACGAAAACAAGACAGTGAAATTAAACTTTGGACAAAGATTTAAGGTAAAATCGTTTACAATCTCGATTAAGCAAGCCACTTAACGTACACACCTGATACATCAACAGCATACTGCCAACATGGCTGTATTCCACCCGCAAGCAAATCTTTCTTTTTGTACAGATTATTGTAACGTAATTTGTTTGGCGCATAGTCTGGTCTCAGAAGAGTGTGAAATATACATTATATATAGACTGTTAGCCAAACGAAGAGCGCCTCTATTCATTGAAACTGTTCAAACGTTGTAGAACACCTCCAGTCAAAGTTCTTTGCCGTTCAATACCCAGTTGAACGGCCTATGAGTCTACAAGAAAAACTTGATCGATTTCATCACATACGGTGACTTCAGTACCCGGGAGTGTTAGCGATTTTACCTGAAGTTTTTCACCAAACCCAAATTTCATCGATGCGACAAGACCGAAGGACGATGAGAAAAGCCGTAGTGTTCTACTGTTATCATTTTTATTTCGAACTTTTGAGCATCATAATCTAGTAGTGATAATCTCGAATACCTGCAGTCAATTAGTTTTATTAATCATCTGTCCCGAGCGTCGGATATCTACCTCTTCATTTTCCTTCTCCCCACTGTGGAAGAGCCATAACTTCTCCACAGATCAATTTGGTTACACACACAGTCTCAAAATCGGACTGGTTCTTAATAGAATAGAATATACCACAAGCCCCTTTAGCAGTAGATTTTCGATCATGAGTTTTACCGCTAAGGTTGCAAAGCACTTTGTGAGACACAATCAAATGAACTGCAATAAACAGACCAATTGTGAGCCAGAAGGAAGCCTGTTTGAAGGATGCAGATACGGCGGTCTTGCAAATACTACCCTTAGGTATTCACAAACCTGATAGGAACCGAGTCAGAGCACTCGTGATGTACAGATCATGGGTTTGAGCAGTGTGCGATCATGTGATCAATCCCAATTGGTTTGATTTTGTGAGTCGGCCCACAATCATACCTAGGTTGGTGCTTATATAGTGCACGAAATACTTTTGGCGCATCCCGCTATTTCCCATGAACGCTTAAACATAGGACCGTGAAATTCGATGTTTGTGGACGTATCGCCCCATCGGCATGTTGGGCAGGCATGCAACTTTAAAGTCTGATACAAGAAAACCAATTTAAGGCCGGGTGTCAGAAGGATGCGAAACACACTGCTAACACACTTCCCGAGAATGGATGAAAAGTGCACGCCATAGCTCAACAGTTCAGGGAATGAGTTACACGCATAATAATTGAATGGGACGATCCTACTTGGCATGTAGGTGAGTGTACTTCATATATTCATTGCTTTGTGAACGAAGTTTACGTAGTCCGTGGAAATAAATTGTGGTTTTGGACCGCTTTTTATCACCGAAATTAGGAGAATACCGTACAGTCGAAGTTTATTTTAGTTTAAACAGGGAAAACGACTGCATATAGGGAGTCAGGTATCAGATGGCAGTCAAAAGAGTTCAATGTTCAAGGAAAATTATCCGCAACATCTTTTGTTACAAGGGGCAACTGTGGGTTATATACTGTATGTTGCTGTCGAAAGATATGAACAGATAGCACGAAGGCCAGTGAGTCGAGCATTCCTACCGTTTAAACACTACTCCCTTATGCATCCTGGAATGATCGGTTGGAAGGCACCGCCTAACTGTAATAAAAGAATAAAGAATAAAAGGAACCACTGCACCAGGCTTTTTCGTGAGGATAAGCTGAAGTACCAAGAGGCGTTAGCACAGAGATTCATCTCTAACCCTAAGCTGTTGTATAAGCGAGGTAACTCAATTCGGAAAGTAAAGTTCGGAATACCGGCACTAAGCTGTGCTGGGAGAGTTGCAGCTACTCCAACGGAAACAGTTGAAATGTTGAAAACTCAGTACTCCAACGTTTTCGCTGAACCATAGGATGAAGATTTACAGCTGCCTCTCCGGTTGCATCATGTTCCATATCCTTTGCTGACCGACGTAACATTTACTGCTGAAAACGTCAAAGCGAAACTAATGGCTTTGCGAAAAAATGCAAACCCAGGTGCGGACAACATACACCCGAAATCCCTTATCGTTTTGGCGAATCACATATCCGAATCACTAACCATTCTGTTCCAACGAATGTTCGACCAAGCAACACTTGTGGAAACAAGGAGTAATTTCACCCATATAAAAAGGTGGTTGTCGTAGTGACCCCGCTGACTATCGACTTGTAACGCCGCTTCCGATGTTGTCGAAAGTCATGGAGTCAATTGTGGTAGATTTGTTGATGGAAAGATACAACATTTTTTCGACAACTCAACATGGGTTCAGGCAAAAGCGATCCTGCTCCACCAACCTACTTCTTGTTCGAGATGAATGGACCAGAACAGTCGACGAACGGGATGCGGTGAATGTGATTTATCTTTACTTCTCGAAAGCGTTTGATCGGGTAGATCACCAGATTTTGTTACCGAAGCTCTACAACTATGGTATGCGAGATTTCGCGTTTGACGTGATTAGAGCATTCCTCCAAAAACGGGACATATCAGTTAGTGTCTCTGATTCCCTATCCGGATTTATCAATGTCACCCGCGGTGTTCAACAAGGGACTGTACTCGGGTCCCGTCTTTTCCTAGCATTCACAATTGACCTACCAAATGTGTTAGGTCCAAAAATAATACTGTTTTCAGACGACGACAAAATCTGAAACACAGTAATACAACAAGATGGTTCTCTAACACTTCAAGAAACACTTACCGCATTTTATCAAGGGTCTAAGGAGAATGAAATTGATTTCAACGTTTCTAAGTGCAAAGTCCTATCCCTACGTCATAAGAGAAGATTTTCGTATTTCCTCGGGAAGCAGAAGCTACCACATATCTCAATTGAAAAGGACTTAGGTATAATTGTTCAGGAGGACTTAGGCTGCTCGATCAATTGCGCGAAGGCTTCGTCCGCTGCTTTGAATAACGAAGGCTTGCTTAGGCGAGTCTTTGGTCGGTTTGAATCAGCACTGTTCCCACGTTTGTTATCAGTATACATTTGAGCGTTCCAAGAGTACGCCGTTCAAGCTTGGAGTTCATGGTTGCCACGTGGTCGCAAGATGCTGCAGCGTCCACAAATGATTGCTACCAAGATGGTCAAGGAGTTGAACTGCCTCACCTATGAGAGATTATGATCATTGGGATTAGATTCTGCTCAGCACCGCCGAATTCGAGTAGACTTGGTTTTGATGTATCAAATACTGCAGAACCCAAACCATTCATGTCGGCAGCTGCTCAAGTTGTCGAACAATATACTCCTTACGGGACATCGTTTTTAGTTACTGAGTCTAAAGTGTCAGCTAGAATGCTGGCGATAATCTTTTGCAGAGTATGCAGTACTTGGAACACTGTTCCATTTCACGTCGTTTGTGCACCAACTGTTGAATATTTTAAGCGGAGACTCGATGAAATCTTGGTACACCTCACATTCCTACACCATTAAAGCAAACGCAAATTCATGGAAGTCCACATTCTTAAAACTTAAGAAAACACATAATGAGGTTAGTTACTACCATAATCATCATTGCCGCCAAAAATGACATTAGTTTCAGTTTACACAACAAAAGTTCTCATTGCGGTCTTTTGGCTGCCCATATAAATAAGAGAGTAGAAGGAAGATTGGGATGTTGGAAGTAGTGTGAAGGTGTAAGCAGAGGATCCATGTAGACTGAGGTTGCAGCCAAACAGAGCAGATGCACGAACGTCGCTATTTATGGCACTCAGTCATGCCATTCTATTTCTAACCATCGGCTTAACTGATCACGTGAGATCCCCATCCAGGAAGCATACTGCAACTTATACGACCGAGTCTCCTAGTCAGGATTTTTATACCCTCGAGTGGTTAAGATAATCGAAATAATGATTCTAATGTACGGAGTTCGAATCTCAACTGCGGCACTCATGTTCTCTGCTTTTCATTTTTTTCGGGCAGCATTTGTTTAGTCGAGGCTGCCTTCCTGCAAATAGACTACGCATTTGTACACTAAATAAACAAAAAAGGAAATAAAAATATTATTCTATTATTAGTAGCTATTCTAGTATGAAACTAGTGCACAACTTTTACGTCCCTCTCACTGTACTGCATCCGTTTATGACCCAACTATCTGGTACAATGAGCAATCAACCCTAATCGATTCCAAATCAAGATGCTCGAAAACAAAAGGAACTGAGAATTCAGCTATGTGGTGATAAAAACAGCTTTTATGAGCCTGTGAAATGCGTCCAGAGAATGCTCTTTACATTGGAAACTAGTGATGATGTCCCTGGTTGACGCAAAGGTTGTTTCCAGGATAGGACATTTTTGTCGATTCCCCATTTCCATTAGAAGATATCAAGGTCATGTATTGACATTGGCATCCGTCAGTTCTAAATAAAACATGTCTAATAATTATACAGTTATGGTCATGGTGTAACTCAGGGGAAAGGATTTTGATTCCCCATTCGGAGGTTCGCGACTGGAATCCAATTAGGGAAGTAAACGCAGTATTCACAGTTGATAAATCAGATCTAGGATGAGGCAGCTGTTCACTGCTTCTTGTTGTTCATCACAAACAAAATTATGTCGCGTTTTCCAAGTGTTTGTTTTATCTCTCCAGAATGAAAAGATTAATATTACCTTGGAATTCGAAAGCAATACTGTGAGTGGTTGCCTAAGTGTATTTCCCTATTGCTTCCACAAGAGGATTGAACAAGTAAAGGAAATTATATTTTCGTGATGCAATACTATCTACGCAAGACACTAAGCGAGGAGCTGGTTTCGCAATATGAAATATTAACACTTACCTCAGTAAATGCGAATTCCGTGGGGTATTGGTACAACATCTGGTGTACGCAGTCTAGAAACAAGGCGAACGTGGCCCCAGCATCATAGTCCTCGACCACGGAACTATCGTGCCAGTCAGGTGGGTCCGGAGCAAACGGATAGCCGTAACGAACCCATTCCCGTTCGATCAAATCCTCAAAACCGGACAGAGTTCGGGTGGCAGGGCATAAAATCAGCTATATGAATGCAAAACATATCGCAAACTGTCAAATTTACGGTCTAGATGAAGTGAATGGCGAACAACGATTAGGCGATTTGAAGAAAAAGTTGAGTTCGACTTGCGGATTAATGAGGTATATATATATATATATATATATATATATATTGCTTAGCACTGGGTGCTTCAAGGGGTAAGTATGGTATTCGATCCGCGGATTCCTTAATATTGATCAGCGACTCTCAAACCCGCGCGAGGAAGTGATGCCTCCATGAAAGAGTTTGTGAAGAATTTGGGAAATGTTATCAAGCAACATCCGCGATACCCCTGAACCTTTTTTTCTATCCACCACGGATAGACGTGCCCGGAATCACTCAGTTCCGCTGAACATATACCCTGAATGACCTACCAGCTCAGGACAACATGGTTATCCTATGTGAAGAAACAAAGATAATGAAATCTTGGGTGATTACGGTTCGCTGGTTACAACATCATATGTTGTCACTTTTCTGAACAAAACTGAAAAATTGAAACAAAAATGATTAAAACCGGTGAAACCATCCGTTTAGTGTCTGCTGTCTTTTCGTGTAATTTGTATTATGAAATTCACTTTTTTCAGTCGTTTTTCTTTTGAAAACTAATGACTACGGCAGATGAGCTATGATAGAGCTGAGAGCAACTACGCTGCACTGCAATACTCATAAAAAAAACTATGAATCCTTGATACATAGCTATACTTCTTTCCATTTTTAAATCGTTTCATTTGAACTGACTTAACCCGTTTGGAAATATAAGTAATACACTGTAAATGCAGACGCTTATTTGGACATTTTCTAGTCACGTGGCCTCTTATCAGCGCAGTTTCCTTATCAGTTTTAGCTACGCTTTGGTGAAGTTTATTGCTAAATAAAGAGTTGGAATAGAATTTCCCAATCTATCTTGATGCTAAGACAACTGCGAGTCGAACACTGTACTAACCCCAACATAATACCCCTTGAAGCACTCTTTATGAAGCTATCATCCTACTAATAATTATCGTATTTTGAACAAGTAACCTAAATTGTCACTGTCCCTGCTTCTTATAGCTATAACGATCTAACTATAACACAGATATTAGTTATTACAGCGTACCATCGCGTATTCATAAAGCACGACCGAATAAGTTGGATTGCTCATTCGGATGAGGATTGTGAGTATATATATATAACACCGGCTTGTAGACAAGCATGGTGCCAACGCCACAACAATAATAACAATAACAAAAATGGAGGCACGTGGATTGGGATACATAGCAACGTGGAAAGGTGGAGGAACAATTAAACACAGGAAAATGGTAGATAAAACTTTTGTGTATTTCACTATACACTTTTTGATATCTTTTTTTACGGGAAACGGGATTTCGAAAGGCAGACCGCACAGCACTTGCACCACTAACTTCTTTTTCGGGGCATACCTCTCAGCGTCTCTAACCAACGACAATCCTCATCCCTTGGCCCCCAACCTGGAAGGCGGGCTGCACCAACCGAAGCCAAAGCTGAAGCCAGGATTTTCGTATCTCTACGCCATGTCATGATCTAACCGCCGCGCCGCTTCTTCCAGCCTTGCCCGGCACGTGCGAAGAGAGAACGGAAAGGTAGTCGATGGACAGGCACATGCAATACGTGGCCAAACCATCGGAGGCGATGTAGGGCGATTACTTCTGTTAGAGAACGACTATCCGCACCCAACACGCGACGACGGACCTCGTCATTGCTCACCCGATGTTCCCGCCAGACACGAGCAATACTTCGGTGGTCGAATACAGAGAGTCGATTAGCATCCTCAACGCAGAGAGGCCAGATCTCGCAACCGTAAAGAACGCTACGATTGTGAGTGATAATAGTGATAGATTTTTTTCCGGGAGAAGCCACCTGGGCTAAATTTATTGTGTTCACACCGAATCTGTTAGTTGCACTGAACTACTTTGAGATTTTCCACTTGAGCATCTGTTATTAATTAATCACATTTGGATAGTAATATGAAACTTCTGAATCACGTCACAAAGTGACTTAGTTACAGCATGCCATTTTTCGATGCCTTGTCGCTGTAGTCAGGCTGAGAATCGTTCACAACCTGTATCACTGCAGCATGACAACTCACTTTAGGCAAAGTCTCCTTGAAAACTGGTCAGTTCCCTGCATCAATGACCGAATGGAATGTGTGATATGCATCACAAGTTTTAAGGAAGTGAATGAGGAACATGACTGATGAGCTACCGTGTATAATACACAAAATGAGTTTTAACGTTAGACCTGGGTTGCATCAACGTCCTAAATTCCACAATCGTATTGACAAGAGTCGGACATTTCAGTGACTAGTCTACCGATAAAACTTGGGTTGATTTCAATTGCAGTTCGTACTTCAGGCAGGCCCAGACATGCACCACTAATCGAACTCATAAGTACGCACAGTCGAATCACCCAAGTAGGGAGATCGATGAATTCAATTGCAATCTAAGGGCTGCTTGGCATTCGCCAAAAAGAAACATATCCACAAAAAGCTCATCAACGGCTGCGACCCACGAGCAGGCCAGGGATATTGAACATAGAACTAAGGCAGCGGTAATGACCAAAACGGCGTCTATGGCTGATCACACAGAGTGAGAGTAAATTGAAGCAAAACAACGTTGAGACAACATATAATGCTACAACAATCGAATCGTAAGGTTAGTCCAGGACAAGGAGCACATCTTAGACAGACAAATGAAATATCTGCATGCGAAAGAACTATTCATAAAAAGCGAAAAAATGAATTGACAGAGAGCGTTTGAATTACCAGTATGGCAATGGCTGAGTTTGGCTTTATTTGATTGTGTGAAAACAATTGCAAACTAAATCAATATACACTGAGAATACATAGAGACCACGACAAAAGTGAGCGAAAAAGGGCGAAGATGAGGAGCCAGCCACAATTCGATAATGGTGATAGCTTGCCTGTGTGAGACTGGTGAGTAATGGTTGCCACGTGCGCCCACTTCCCGGACCAGTTAGAACTATAACAGTGCCGGTAAACGAGGCGCTACCACCTGATTGAGACGGGGCATAGTATCGACCCGGACTGGAGCTCAATT